GGGGGGGGGGGGGGGGGGGGGGGGAGGGTTGTCGCATTGATGAAGAAGTGTGGCTTCGACGCCCATAGAGTATGCATGATGTGATACAGAGGGGGGAATGACCGTGTATGTTGGTGACCCCTCCTGTATCCGGGTTGTCCTCGAGATTCGGGCCGCCCCTATAATAGCCCCTGGGCGATGTGTCTACGACCCCTCGGAACGCTGTCCTTGGGGCTGTCGCAAGCCGTCCTTGGCGTTCTTTTTTAGGTCTAGGTCTGGATAGTGAGGTCTGGGTCGCAGTGCTGTAGGGCTCGACTTGCGATAAGATTACGATAGAACAGGTCACGAATGACACCCCCTGGAGGAAGACCGTCCTTGGGGTTGTTGCAAGCCATCCGATCCCCTCACTGGTTGAGTACGCCGACAGACACCTTCCGAGGCCTAGCATCCACCCTCTACCACGACATGGAGCTTTAAAAAATAAAAATTTAAAAAAAAACAGATCCGCATCTCACTGGGGGGGGGGGGGGGGGGGGGGGGGGGGGGGTTTTTTGTTCCCTGGTGGTTGTGTTTTTTTTGTTCTGGATGCCCCCCCCTACATTTTTCAAGTCTTTTTTTTTTTTTTTTTTTTTTTTCTTTTTCTTTTTTTTTTTTGTTATATCAGTCTAGTAGACCAAGCGCGCATGAGAACGCAGCAAACGAGACAATGAATTGCTAACAAACAAAGGGTTTTTAAGTTTTAACTAACAATTCAACCAATACTATAGTGCAATAAAAATATATATATATTAAACTGGCATTAATAATTATTTTGCATTTAAATTTTAATGGTTCAAGATAACAGAAGGAACATGTATATGTTTCCGGGCTCCCACCTCTCCAGGATAGACGGCCAGGATTGCGTCGCTCATTGCGCAGATATCGGCTGTCCTCACGTCAGTGGCCATCCACTCGTTGGGAGGAATATAGTAAATTATCCTGCAATCTGACACATAATACAGCATTCAAGCAAATTGAGACACAGAGAGAGAGAGAGAGAGAGAGAGAGAGAGAGAGAGAGAGAGAGAGAGAGACCTGGCTCTGGAGGAAGTGTTGTGATTTATTACTTTTAACTTGAGATCTGGCAATGGTGCATGTCAAACAGCAAAAAAAAAAAAACTGAGAGAGCACCAGCATCCCTTATAATAGACTGTAAAACCACGGATTTCAAAGCAAAAAAAAAAAAAAAACGGAAAAAGGAAAAAGAAAAAACAACATGTGTGTGTTCTTCCCCAGAGAGTCAGGACAGTTACTATTGAACGTTGAAACGGTTTTCACATTAGCAGTAGCAGATGCAGATCCCAGGGCTCGATCCCTAGACCTTACCACACCCGTGTACAGTATGGTCTATGTAGCTCCCCAGAGATTCAACCCCTGTGTGTTTGAACCCGTGACCTGTGATTTAGTAGTTTACTGTTGTTTGTCGTAGGTCTATGTAGCTGTAGGGGTTCGATCTGCAGATCTGTCGAGTAGGGGTCATGGTTGTGTAGAGGCCGTAGCTGTAGCAATTCTGAAAGGTCAAGGTCGTAGCTGCTACAGTCCTGAAAGGTCAAGGTCGTAGCTGCTACAGTCCCAAAAGGCCAAGTCCACAGACTTCCGGAAGGTCCGGAAGTGGCCTTCCAAGTTTTTCTCACGTTATTCACAGCAGACCAGAGGCAAGTGGGCAAGTGGTGAGTCCAACTTTGCTTAGTCAGCGGTACCCAGTCCCAGTCTCACTTTGTACAGTCAGCAAGTACCATGAGGGACTGTGTGCACCATGGGCCCGGTGGAAAAGGGCAGACCAGCGACTTACAGAAGTATAAAATCAAGTATAAAATCAAGAGCCAGCGTCCAGCCATTCATTCATTCCTGCGTGAGCCATGCGGAAGCGCTGCCATAGCGTCTTGTGCGAGGTGGTCTGCGGATGCCCGAAGTTGAAGTGGGCTGAAGGGAGATAGTTCGTCCCTAGCCAGCAGTAATAGAACAGTAGTAGAGCGGCCATAGCCGCTGTAGCTTAGTGATAGAGATCAGTGTGTGTGTACGTTTTCTACTGAGTTGTGTGCATGGGATATCCAGGGAGGTCCAGTGTGAAGTGTGTGAGAACAGAGAAGGTAAAGAGGGATGTGCCAGCGCTCGGGCGCCATATTTGGATTAAAGCGAGTTTGTAACTGAGCTGTGCCTCCGGTTTGAATATCTCTCGGCTTTGTGTGGGTGCCCAGCGCCAGTGTGGACTGCCATCTGTTTGTATGCATGCGAAGTGAAGAAGAAAGCGAGTCTGATTGCAATATTATTCTTTTCAAGTTTTTACAGTAAGGAGTCTAAGGACCTGCCAAGAAAAGGACTGTGAACACTGCTCTGATTTTCGCCGCGTTGGAATGAATGCCTTGCTGAGATTCAATGTGCCTGCTGAGTTTTATAAGTCCGTGGGTGTGTGTGTGTGTGTGTGTGTGTGTGTGTGTGTGTGTGTGTGTGTGTGCGTGTGTATGTGTGTGCGTGTGGGTTTGCTGGTCTGCGTGCCTGTCTGAGTGCTTGTCGGCCTGAGTGTGTGTGTGGCCCCCCAGGGCACTTGGTTTGTTTGGGAGGGGGGGCCATAGTAGGGACGGTACTTACCTGTGCCTGGGACTCTGGGGTTGCAACGGGGAAAAACACTCGAGTGGCCGAAGGGGTAGAGCTTAGGGAACACTCAAGTAGTCGTAGTGTAGGCCTGTAGGTACTTGAGTAGCGGGAGGCCAAGCAGAAGAAGACAAAAAAGTTCGTATTTTTATAGGCCCAGTAGCGGTAGGTAGGCTAGCTCTAGGCGGGGGTACCAGTCTAAATAGTCTGAGTCTATCAGATTCTGCAATGATGTTTTCCCTCCGAAAGGGAGGAGGTACCGGTTGTTGCTTGGCGGCCGCGCAGCATGGAAGTCACCACCCAAGAGGCAGGTTGGCCGATATACCTCCAGGAGCAGTGAAGTGCTCCTCCTCGTTTGCTGTGTGCAAGTTTGGGCGTCACACTGCTGGAGCGCCTGGAGGAGCACTAGGGTGCAGTGCTGTGGGGGAAGAGGAGCACCCAGCCCTCCGCCTTGTTGGCTATGGTGGACGGGCTCGGGTAGGAGGAGAAGGAAGAAGGGGACTGAGAGAGGGGAGCACCAGGGGCACTTACCTGGCCAAGGTGGACGCCATCTTCATCAGCTTGGTAGGCGCTGCATCGGGAAGGCCCCAGTCGGGGTAGCTCTGTATCAAGAAGCTTGGAGGCACAGTCAGGCATGGCGGCCTGAGAGGAAGAGGACAGAGCTGCTTTGCGTTGTCTCTTACACGTCAGGACAAGGCTCTCTTAGTAGAGCCCGCCATAGCCTAGGCCTGGATGAAGAAGAGAGAGGAGGGCGTCCATGGCTATGGTGGACCTCTTGCTGTGCTGGCAGTAGAAGAGGGATTCGCACGTTGATTCTGGTTCAGCCATTCATCATCATTATTATTATTATTTGTTGTTTGTTGTTTGAATGAGAGAGGAGGAGTTTGTTGGCGAAGAAGGGTCAATTATCATTGGTCTTTTGCAGGTGTACGTCTTCTTCTTCTTCTTCTTCTTCTTCTTCTTCTTCTTCTTCTTCTTCTTTCTTTCTTTCTTCTTTTTCTTCTTCATCTTCCTTATCTCTCTCTCCTCTCAAGTTCATTCTTTCCTTTTCGCAATTGGACAGCATTGTACTTCCTTGTGAATTTGCACTTCCTAATTGGCCACGATCGTAACATAACTGTGGTGCAACGCATGAGGCCCTCGGCCGTAGTTGGAAAAGGGCCTGCACCCGCCCTCGATGAAGGCGGGCCCCTGGAAATTCGGCGAGGTCTCAAAAAGAGGTCACCATGGGCAGGCAAGGGCGTGCGGTTTGGGTTGTCGGACGCAGCATCTGCAACCTACCGGTGGGCCTGATCGGTTGAAGATGCTGGGGCCCAGAAAAGATGCTGAGGCCCAGGGCACTTAACAGTGGAGCGCCGGGCACATCCGGGAAGGGCATCAGGCGCAACCACTGGGACAGAGGCCGGGCAGTCCAGAAGCTGCGTCGCCTCCATCCCAGTATCGGCACAAAAGGAAGTGACTGGCCTCACTTCCTCATTCTTGCTGGCTGGCTGGACGGCGGCAGCTCTGCTGGAACCCAGGCTTGCTGGGCACTAGTTGGGCAAGGGAAGAAGGGCGCTGGCGGGGGCCGCGGAAGCTGCGAGCGGGCAGCATGTACGTCACGGCAGACATAGCCAGGCTGCCTGTAGCAAAGCCAGGGGAGCCTCGAGCAATGGTGCTTGGTGTAGGGTAGCATGTGGGGGAAGTACGAGGGATGAGTGCGCAGCAAGCGCTTGCCTGGTGGTCTAGGAAGGAGGACGCCACAGCCGCCAGAGTCTTCATTCGTCATCCGGCTGATGATCTTCATGACGATCTGTTGTCGTAAATAGCGAGTCCTAGGTTGCGGGTGCATCGCTGTCTGCCGTCTGGGCGCAGAGCGGCATTGCAGACATTCCCGTCAGAGGCAAGGAGAGGGCTTTCATTGCCAATCGGTGCCGCCTTCATTGCTTTGCTCTTATTTGGTGTATCTTGGGTTGCATGGTTGCATTCTACTTTCAGTTCCATGCACATGACTATCTCTTCGCATTTGCCCGTTAATTATTCAGGCAACAAAATTTGGGATGATGATTTCAAAATTTTTCAATCGTTCAATGGGATGACAAAAAAATTTGGTCCCTATCTTTCGCGTCACGCATTTTGCTTAGCAGTGGCAACTCTGCATTTCAAAAAAAAAAAAAAAAAAAAAAAAAAAAAAAAAAAAAAAAAAAAAAAAAAAAAAAAAAAAAAAA